TATTCAATCAAAAAACAGAATTACATTTTCTTATTTATAATTCACGCATTTGAATCACAAAGGACGATAAAATTGTATACTTTTATGAAACTACTTTTTCGGAAAATTAAAAATTATACTTAACCACATGTTTTGTAAAGCACGACCTGAAATCAATCTAAACATATATTTTCAATTTAAAGATAATTTTTTATTTTAATAAACAATTTTTTAACAGTTATAGTATTTATTGTTTTCGTCCATCACGTCTATTTTAATACAGGGCGACCCATATCATATTAGATTATCTCCAAGCTATAACGCCAAAATATGCACACACAACACAAGTTATAACTAAAAAAATCTATTTAATCCTGCGTGTAAATTTTCAAATTAGTCGTACGTGAGCCGTGCATTATTTTTTAATGGTTCACTCTTTTTTTATTTACTAAATAGTTTCTCAAGTCGAAATTAAGATGTATGAACGATCCAACATGATGCATGGGACACCCTGTAGTTTAGCAACTTGGGTTGAAAGGTCGTCTTTCTGTTTTCATAAATTTGTCGAGAATTATCTGTGCTCCACAACCCTTTATTTAGGTTTACAATGTTTGAAATTTTAGGAAAAGATATTAAAATAAAAAGTTATTCTGAGGCCGAATTTAAAGAATTTGAGCAACGGCTTAAATTTGAGACGCGGCTCAAATATGTTTGGTTCCGCTTAAACTTGTGTTCAATGTTTTAAGTTTTAAGCCGGTGTTCAATTAAAGCCGGTTTTTGGCGGATTTGAGACTCGGCTCAAATTCATTAAATTCGGATTCAGAAATATTAAAAGAATGCTTACTCTATTTTTTTCATATCTCAGGAATAATCAAAACAAAAGCTTAATGTTAAACTATATTTTTCACTATAGCAAGCTAACATTTTTAAACAAAAAGGACATAACACAAACTCTTGACGGATTAACTGTTTATAGATGTAAATTTAAAACCTCAAAGTTTACGTTATAGATATATACTATATAGTGATAACCAAATAGATTGTCAACCTATTTGGTGATAACCAGAAAATTCAGAAATAGGAAGACGACTTTTACAGCAAAGTTAAAGCTTTAAAAAGCCCAATCAATATGATAGCCATTTTATAATTGTCTAGTAAAACTAGTTGCTATGTAACAACATCAAATATACTTGAGTATTGATATAATATCGTCTTCCTGTTCTATTGTTTTCTTGTTATTATTGTATTATTTTATCAGTTCAACCTCTTTGAAAATCATGTTAGGTATATGTTTGAGCATCGCGCAAACTTTTTTCAAAGGGTTTATTTGCTGAATGAGGGAAAACAAATCAATGTTTTTTCCCTTAAGCATAAAATTATATCAGAAAATTACTAAATCCCCCTCCCCCCGTTTAATTGTTGGAAACATATATTCCGCTGCAGTCACTTTCTGAGTCCAATCAAGCTAGAGGTCCTAGAGGTAATATTAGCTGTTTTCAAAGCATTAAACTTATTCAATCTTTTTATTTAGGCGTTTTCAGGCTTTAAAACATGAATATTATTAGTTCGGACATTGTAGATACCCGCCCACTTATATAGCCACGCCCTTATGTCAAGTTAATATGCAAATTCTTCTCAATCAACAAGGGGATAATATGAAGAAAAAAGAAGGGAAGAGGGGGGAAGAAGGAGGGGGGACGCGATTGGAAGATAATAGAAAACTGAATAAGGGAAAGAAGGAGAATCAATAAAAATTTGTAAAAGTTCGTAATTGTAAACAATATATTCGTAATTTTGAACAAAATATTCGTAATTTTTAACAAAATGTTCCTAATTTTGATCAAAATATTCGTTATAATTTTGAACAAAATTTTCGTAATTTTTAAGAAAATCCTCGTAATTTTTATAAAAATATTCCTAATTTTGAACAAAGTGTTTCTAATTTCGAACAAAATATTCGTAATTTCGAACAAAATATTCGTAATTTCGAACAAAATATGCCTAATTTTCAAAAAATGTTTTAATTTTGAATTAAACATTTGTAATTTTGAACAAAATGTTCGTGAATTTGAACAAGATATTCGTAATTTTAAACAAAATATTCGTGATATTGTAGAAGCCTGACTTTTAGTTATAAGAAAATATGATTTTGTCCTAAATGTTAAAATTAGAATTGAGTTTGCATAAATGCGCAAACAGTTTCACTGATATTTCGCAAACTTGTTCAATCTCGGATTTTACACTAGTCATTCTTAGTATGTTAAACGAGTAACATATGAATAAATAATGACTTCCGGTGATATACTTTGTGGCCTCCGGCGAAGCTTGGAATCAAAGTATTGACATAGATTGATATTACAAGACGCCCATTCTGTAAACAGTTATTGTTCACAAGATGTCCATTCGGAAGATTGCCACAGATTGAACTTACCAAGCATAGCCACAAATTAGATTTCAAAAGGTCTATAATCAGATCATGGACGTTTACAGGAATTTGTCTAGGGAAGAGGGGAGGGGGTGGTTAACCTTTTAGTGAACTGAAAACCCCCTACCCCTCTCCCGGAAATCACAATTTTCATTTCTGGGGGGGGGGGGTAGCCCTCAACGAAAGGGTCTAATTCAGACGTTGGCAAATTTACATGTTGACGGTGTCAATCAAAACTAACTTAAAAGTTTTTTCTAAATAAAGTTTTTTTATCGTTTCTAGGCTTTTTTATTGTGCAGAAATCTGTGCATTTATTACTATAGAAAACAATATGAATTATTAGAACATTAGAAAAAGTTGTTAAATGATGCATATGACTTACTTTACGACAATTAACAACATTTGTTGGTCTTTGAACTCCAGACGGGCATCTTGTTAACCAATCTTTGAACTCCCATGTTACTTTACGACAATTAACAACATTTGTTGGTCTTTGAACTCCAGACGGGCATCTTGTTAACCAATCTTTGAACTCCCATGCGGCCATCTTGTTAAACAAACTTTGAACTCCCAGGCGGCCATCTTGTTAACCAATCTTTGAATTCCCATGCGGCCATCTTGTTAAACAAACTTTGAACTCCCAGGCGGCCATCTTGTTAATCAATCTTTGAACTCCCATGCGGCCATCTTGTTAAACAAACTTTGAACTCCCATGCGGCCATCTTGCTAACCAATCTATGAACTTCCATGCGGCCATCTTGTTAAACAAACTTTGAACTCCAATGCGGCCATCTTGTTAAACAAACTTTGAATTAAATCTAGTATTGCCAATGTTCGTAAACCTGCAAATTGTGTTGCAAACGCTTGTGTAATTATAGTAAGTTTTTAAATACAATCATGGATTATTACGCAGCGGAAATTTTCCTTTACTTACATTTATTGAAAGAAAAAGACAAAAACAAACCAAAACTTTCTAAATTATGAGTGCAACTTGGAAACCTGATACCTTATTATCTATATTCCTTCTGTGATATCGCGTTTTATTCTTCAAAAGTTTCTGTGCATAGATATGTAATAATATCCCCGAGAACTATATCTTGGAAACCTGATACCTTATTATCTATATTCCTTCTATGATATCGTGTTTTATTCTTCAAAAGTTTCTGTGCATAAATATGTAATAATATCCCCGAGTACTATATCTTGGAAACCTGATACCTTATTATCTATATTCCTTCTATGATATCGCGTTTTATTCTTCAAAAGTTTCTGTGCATAGATATGTAATAATATCCCCGAGTACTATATCTTGGAGGTCTGATCAATTATGGTAACAATGTTTATAATTATAAGACTGGGATATTGTGACAGATAGCACTGTCTGATTCAGAACGGTCTGATCAATTATGGTAACAATGTTTATAATTTTCAAAACTGATAAAAAACCCATTTTCGTATAATTCTTTGTTTCAACACACCACCCACTTTCTCACGTCTAATTCCAGAATCTCTCTTTTAAGTTTTGACCATCCTCCTTATATGTTTATTTTATACTTTTTATCTAAATATTGATGTATATTTGAAAAATATTAAATTTTAGAAAGGATAATTCAATTTTTAGAATTTTGACCAATTTTGCAGTACTAACAATGGATAGATTAGCGGTTTCTGTTTCTTTTTATTAAGGAATTAGAGAGTTATGGGCTAGATGGCGGGTGTTCAGTTCCTTTTGTAATAATTCCACTGTTTTCAGGTTACCACTGTAAAAATATAGCGTGGGCTGGTTCTTTTAAAGAACTGGGTTTGTTTAAACTCTACTTTATAATTCATAATTTGATTGATGGATTGAAAATAGGTGGCTGAAAGGATGGATGGATGGATAGATGGATGGATGGAGCACCAAGGAAGATGGATGAATGATGGATGGAGAGTTGATTGAATTAGTTACCAGTATAATTCATCAAGGAGGGAGGGAGGAAGGGCACTGTGATTTAAAGCACTAAAGCAAAAGTCTATAAGAATTTCGCCAAAAACATCTTAAACATATTCTTTCTACCGGGGGGGCGGGGGCAATTTGCCCCCCCCCTTTAGTTTTTTTACATAACTCAAAAAGTAATGGTCTGAGGCTGTTTTCCTAAATACCCAAAGTCCTAAATTTAGATCTAAAACCGGGCTTTTATACTAACTACCTGAGTCCTCAGGTACACTGCGTGAATGACTAAATTTTCCTGTAACAAACTGAATCTTTGCTTTGACTCGCTTTCAGTTGTCAGAGTTTGATAATTTTTAGCTATTTGGAAAGCCATTGACATAAGGAAACGAATTGCGCAAATTTTGCAAAGAAATATTTTAGAATTGTTTTGCATGCAACTCTCCAAAAGAAATTTCCACATTTTTAGTTTTTCTTAATCACACATCAGATTATTTAAAATGTTGCAAAATGTTTTGCATATTTGAAATGACATGGTCAAGGGCTATTTAAAAATATATTTTTTATTCTTTTCTGGACATTTTTATTTTGCCGACATTTTACTATATTACTGGATTTTGCAAAAAAAAAATTTCAATTTTTGATATACTAAATCAAAGAATTATTTGAAAAGACGATATCGAATTCGTCACTGAATTACCATGTATATTGGGACACCCTGTATAAGATAACGTTTTAGAATACCTTAAATAAGCATTTTTGCATGGCAATCTATACCTGTAGTAACTTTATCAAAACATATTTTTTTGATTTTAACATTTTGAGAAAAAGTATTCTACTATGGATAAGAAAGAGTATCCAAGTATCAGTCCCAGAAATCCTCCAATTCCATTTAGCAGGTCAATCTTATCAAAGATTAGCTTTTCTTCAAATACCTAAATTAAAGATCTTTGTACATAAGATAAAAGCAGACTCAGTCTTTTCGAACAATTTAAACAAATAAAACAACTATATATATTAGGCTTTAAAGGCATGCACTTCACACCCTTTTTTCTATTTACAATTTTATCTTGTAAATGTTCATTCACAAAACGGTTTCTAATTTCTTCGTAATCAATTTTGTTATAAAGACCATAAAAAATCTGGGGCACTTGATCATAATAATGCTTGGCAGGCAACATTTTAAAATTTCTTCGGCTGCTCCAAAGGTCTGGCTGTTATACAGAAGAACAATTTTTCACTTACATATATCACCATATTTTACCTCTACCCTGCCGGAATTTGCTTCCATATAGAACTCTGAAGTCCAATTTACATCCCAGGTAATCTTAGCAGTTACACTAGACGTAAGGTGAAACTTTTCTCTGTCACAAGGAAGTTTGCATCCTGAAAACAAGTCTTAGCTTACATAATAGTTTATACACTTTGATTAGATGTGATAACCTGTTTGTTTGCTGAGATCAATGAAAGGGGCTGAGTGTAAGCTCCACATAAGCAAGCTCAATCTTTTAATATCTTCCAAACCCTCACAGGCAGGCAGATTTCCTACTGGAATACTTGACCAGTTTAATTGGCATCCTACGCTTTGATGTATATAGTTGAAGATACAATCAGTCAAACTGTAATCCTAGATTGTAGCATAATGAAAATAACATCAGCCAAAATGTTTTTGGAAAAGATTTCAGTTTTTGCAACAAATTCTACAACACTGTATAGTCTGGTTCATTTCAAGTACAGGGCCAACTATCAACCAGCTAGAACAAGCTTTACAGTACACATACAGAGTATAAACTATTTTTGATCAGTAAACATTTTCTAGCTTTGATTAAGCTGTGACTTTCTCGGACCTAACGTAGGTGTGATTAAGCTGTGACTTTCTCTAACCTAACCTAACCTAGCTAACCTGGAAAATAACAGCTAAATCACAGCTAGAAAATGTCTAATGAATTAAATATAAATATAGGTTGCAAAAATATAGGGATTAGGGTGGCTGGTGTGTGGGGTGGGGTGGCTAGTGTGTGACACCAGTTCTTGTTAGGTCACTGAAGTTAAGAAACACTTGTCCACAGCGAGTAACTGGATTGGTATCCAGACTGGTGTTGATAGGTTTGATTCCCAGACTCCTTACAAACCTGTGGTTTCAAAATCATCTGAAGCTAACATCTGGTTATACAGTTATGACCACCTGACAGATGTAGGAGGACAGAGTGGTGGCATTTCAACGTCTCTTGCAGCAAAAGGGCGAGTGCTTTATACTCACGAGAAAGAAGCTTGAAATGGATTGATCAAAGTGAATGATGATGAAGAGAGAAAATGTTGACAAGCAGGGAGAGTCTATGGTTGCCAGCTATAGGTACCTGGAGGTTTCCAATCCGAGTAATGTCTGTCTGTATAACTGTGCGCAGGTAGTTCGCTTAGTTATACTAGTTATACAGACAGACAGAGGAAAGCGTGGTATGGTTTCTTCATTCACTTCCTGACGTAATACAGAAATTTAATCAAACATTTATTCAAAATAATTTGTAAAGCATGAAATTTATAAATAAAGGGAGGGTTAACGAATAAAGAAAAAATCTGAATTTAATTAACAAAATTAATGATTTCATACAAAAGTCTAAATTAAAAGTGGTCAAAGCAATTTTAGAAAAAACATTAATATCAAAATTATATACTTCATACACACTTTTGATGAATCGGAATCAGTTTTTTGATAAATAATTAGTTGCAATTTACATTTATATGGAAGATTTTAATTATTACCTCTTTATCACAGCGGTCAGCTCATTTAAAGTAATCATTAAATCTAGCAAGACAAAATTTTACGCTTAAAACGAGTTTTAAAGCATTGATATTTATCTTGAAGCTAAAAGAATTTTGTTACCTATTCCCGCACGTTTCAATTTTTGAATTTTTTTCTTTTTAAAGTCATTTATTATTAAAAGGTAATTTTTTGTACAGGCTTTCGCGGGGTTGGAACAGGCTTTCGCGGGGTTGGAACAGGCTTCTGCGGGGGTCGAACAGGGTTCTGCAAACTACCTGTGTTCGAACAGGCAATTGCGGGGTTCATGGCCGCANAATTTCTATTTTATTAATTTTGGTCCCTTAATTTAAACTTTTTGTAACTGGAAGTAACCAATTGAGTGTAGTATAATCGTTATCATACTCGTATGTTAATATTTTTTTTTGTATATGGAATAAATCTTCAGTTGTTTAATTCTAAGCTTAGAATATCAATTTTTGACAATGTGCCTAAAAAGTTACATATTGCGTAAAACTTGCGCAAAAATAATTGCGCAAAACTAAAATTTCGTTTCATGCGCAACTTTCGCAAAAAATATTTCCGGTTTTGCGCAAATTGCGCAAAATAAATAGCGCAAAACCGCGCAAAACCGCGCAAAACTCATTGCGTTTCATGCGCAAAAATAGTGCAAAAGTTCGCAAAAATAAAATTTGCGCGAAAATAGCGCAAATTTTGCGCAAAAGATTTAGCCATTTCGTGGAAACCCTACTTGAAATCATTATCATTGGAAAATGCAAAAATACTAGAATATCAAATGCCAAATGATCGAAATCTTTAAATGATCGAAAAAATATACGCTAAACAGTTAGGACAACTATTGTACGCTAAACAGTTAGGACAACTATTTATTTGTTCAAAAATATCATAAAATTTTACAATAAAGTTAATCTTAAAGTTTAAGGTATTCTTAAACATATTTTTATGATAAAACGTATGTCAAATGCAAGCTATTTTTTAATCTTTCTCTTCTCTTCTATTTTCTATATTCTTCTCTTCTATTTTCTTTTCTTCTCTTTTCTTCTTTTTTCCTCTCTTTTTTCTTCTCTTTTTTCTTATCTTTTTTTTCTCTTCTCTACTCTTCTGTTCTCTTTGTTTTCTCTTTGTTGTTGACATTTAACCGGTTTTGAGATGAACAATGCAGTACCGTTGTTAGATTTTTCTCTGATTTGTTTAAATTTCTAGCTTGTAGACTTAATCGAAACTTACTGCAGCGTTTGTACTCCATAATTAGGCATTTGATCATTTTAGGCAGCTAGAGCAAGGTGTACACTGTACGGTTTACATACAGACAAAAGGCAAAATCGGGACATTGTATTGTGACGATTAGGGGTTTTGACGTTATAAGTGTTTCTCAGAAATGTGAATAAAATCAATCAAATTACAAAATTGTATTCTCAATAAGTTTGCTTTGATTGCATTATAAAAGAAAACTTGTCTAGTCTGCCATTTTGAATAGTATTCACATATCATATTCTTGTGAAGCCATTGAAAAGTCTAAATCTATATATAAATTTGGCTTGTCTGTCTGTTTGTTTGTCTGTTTGCTTGTATCCGATAAACGTCAAAACGGCTGAACCGATCAAATTTTGTGTGGGATCTCGCGTGACCCCAGCTAGGGAAGGTTTATGAATGATCAAAATTTAAAAATTTGTCTTTAAAATTTTTTATTTTTTGTAAAATTTTGAAAATGCGCGAAAAAAATATTTTGAAATCCGCAAACTTTTTTGTTTTTGTTTTATACTGTGCAAAGATTCATGTGATTCCGACCGATATATATATAGACTTGCTTTGTTATCTTAGATTAAAATATATCCTTCCTAAAGACTCCTTGCGTTATTTGGAGACCGACGCTACGTCCTCCATAAATTATTATTAAAAGATTTTATTTTGTACAGTCTTTGGCGGGGTTCTAACAGGGTTCTGCAGGGTTCGAAAAGGCTTCTGAGGGGTTCAAACAGGGTTTTGCTAACAACCTGGGTTCGAACAGGATATTGCGGGGTTCATTGCCGCATGGCCCCCCATCCCTCGTTGGGAGAACTCTGATAATGCTGGATGAAAACTGAAAGCCTGGAGTGTTAATTGATTTAAATGATTGCTCCTTAATTGTTCAGTTAACACTTTATTAGAACAACAAATTGAACAGCCACACCTTTTTAACAGTTAGGATTCCATTCTTCTATATTTTTAAAGACTTTCTAACTTTGAAATTTTATCTATTACAGGTAGTGTTGTAAGCTTCACAAAAATCTTTTATGTTTTTTAAACAATGTGATGAAATAATTTTTGTCCCACCTTATCTTTAATGCAGTCAAAAGTGTGAGTCTTAATCCTACTCTCTTTAGATCTCTCAAATGACACCTTTGAAAACATACATTATATCACATGTACATTTTAGAATTTAAAGAAAATTAGCTATTACCTCCAAATATTCTCCAGGATGCAGAAAGAGCTCATCTACTTGACCAGTCTCATCCAAACCTTCGTGCACCCAGAAATGCTATAAAAAAATCCATTTAGGCCCTGACTAAGACTCAAAGAAATCGTTGTGGTTTCATTAAAATATAATTCACATTTAAAACTTGTGGTTTTCTCTTAGAACTCCACAAGTTTAACTATTCTGGCCCCTTTCATTCAGAGGGGGGGGGGGGACAAATATTTGGCTCCTTTACTTTACAATTTTTAACCAAACTTGTGATATATATCTGTGATCATGCCTTACCTCTTTAGAATGAATGTGTATGTTATAGCCACACAAATTGTCCATGTCCAAACCCTCCCCAATTCTTGCTATAAAATGTCCAGGTCTTCCTGGTAGAAACGTTTCGTTGGGATTATAGGTAAAACAATGGCCACCACCATAGGAGTTGAGATTGAATATCCTTTCCTGCCACAATTCATCAAATTTAGAGCTTGCTAGATATTCTGGACGCTCTTTTGATGGCATTTCTCCATTGCAGGTTGTATTGCAGTATGCATAACCATAGGGAACTAATGATCTATTTTTAAAAACATGAACAGCACACCATGGTCTTCCATCATGCATTTCCGTACATTTGTTGAAGGTCTTTATCTCCTTTTTCTCTTGAAATGAATCACAAAATTGGCTTTGGAGAGGATTTACTGGCGAGCGGATAGAGCAATCATTAACACGGAACGGAAATGCACAGGGAAATCCAACCAATGCCTCTGTCGGGGAATCTATGGTCTCGCAAGGGAAAATTCTGCTGCTGTGTCTGTGCTGAACAAAGTTGAAGATCTGGCTTCTGTTTAAGGCATTCTGTTTAATCCATTCTATCACAGCAGCATGTGAGGTATTTTTCCATGATTTCATCTCGGTCATTAAATCCATTTTACCATCTCCGAATGAACATACTTCACAAAAAGTGATGGATGGATAGGTAACTTCACCATTCTCATTAACAAAACTAGCAAAATTGAGTGCACTATTATTAATCTGTGTAAAGCTGTCACTATGAAACCTAGTTACAAGATTCTTCGTTTACTGGGAATGTTATGCAACATACTTCATGTTGTTTATTGTGTGCTGCATGTGAGCATCCTTATACAACAATAAATCATCCTGCCAGGAAGTTAAACTACCTTTTAAAATCAGAGATCCTTGCAAAGAAGTTTACTTCTGACGGGCTTAAAAACAGTGCAGTGAAGGAAAAATTTTCTTCCATGTTGTAAAAACTTTTTTGCAAAGATTTGCATTTATTTTTTGCATGAATGAATTTTGTGAAAGGAAGCAAAAAAGATGCTGTATTATTTTTAGGCATAGAATCCGTAAATGTCTTTCCCAATCAACTGTACTTCTTTTTCATAGTTTGTCATTTTCTTAAAAGTTCTGACTATTTTAGAGAATTTTTCTTATTGTGCATATTTATATTAACACACTTGGAGATCAGGACAACTTTAAACCAGTTTACAATGTAACTTAACAAGAAAAAGAAAGGTTAGTCGGTAAAAACAATCATCACCAGCTGGTCTAGACATCTGATTCTTTCATTTTATCTTTTCTGCTTCAATAAAACAATCTCATTGGATGGAATCTTTTCTTTAAAAATTAATCATTTTCAATTAGATTCAGCTAGAACCTGAATAGATTTATAACTTACCTTATCATTATTGTTTTCTCTGCCAAGTACTTTTTTATGGAGATCCAACCCCCACAGATAAACAAAAGAATAAGAAGGAACTTAAATCCATATTCTAAAATTTTCCTTTTAAGACCCATTTATAGTCTACTTCTAAGGCAAGCTGATAATCAAGTGAACCTATTTTTAATTATGGGAGTTTTCTTTTTAACAAAGGTGTTGCTTTTAAACTATTGATTCAGCCTTCTCTTCACATTATTAGTTTTTCTACATGTTTTCGAAGAATTAAAATGTCTAAATATTTATGTATTAATTTTATGGAGGGTAGATTTTATAAAAAGCTTAAGGCCTTAGTAGCAATTTTTTCATCTTCATCAATGTCATAGCTGACAATAACTGAGGAAAAGAAAAATTGGCTTGAAGAAGAAAAGTAAAAGCTTAATGATGAAATGTAATATCTAATTTTTAAAATGCAAAATGTTGCTGTTCATATAAGTCCTTGTCATAATTAATTTTTTTAGATCTCAAGAAAGGAATTGAGTCTTTGTCACAAAGATATATTTATTACAAAATTTAAGTTTGTGGCAAATACTCAATTCCTTTATTATTTTCATACAATTAAATACTTTAATACATTTTTAAACTATTTCTAACTTTTGTTACAATAGCTTAAAACACATTATTGCCATTAAGTGCTCAGAAACTTTTCCTAGAATTAATCCTGGATTTTAATAGGTGTGGAAAAACATGGAAATATAGAATGGATGTATCATATACAAGTTTAGATGTCATTTTTTTGGGGGCTTGGTCTCCCGCAGTACATTTAACAATAGATTCTGGACTTGCATTATGTCTTTGATTTTCTTAAAGTTAATAATTGTCCCAAGAATATAGAAAAATAGTATACATCTTTAAAGGGAGTGACTGGCAATGTTGAACTGAGAATGTAGTGCTGTGGAGAAATTTTTGGGATTCATTTGAGACATATTATTAAATGCTTTAATGATCATTTGGCTGGTTATGTTTTTAGAATCAATTTTTAAAATTATTAAATAACGAGGACAAAAATGTCAGACAAGTTCTACAGTTAACTAATTAGTTGTTCAGGAACAGGCTGAGAAAATAAAAATTAACTCTCATCATAATAAGTTATCATTTTCAGTTATTAGTTTCTGTAATCTCTCTTTCTTCACAACATTTTCTGTAGATTTTATGAAATTTTTATTAAAAGGTGACATTTAAAGAATTTGTAAAAATGTTGAAACATTTCTTGTCTTTGTTAACTGATAGTTAAAAAATAGCAATTCTCTAAGGCTAACTACCCAAATTGATAATCCTAAAAAATGTCTTCACAAAACAACATTCTCAGTGCAATTACCAAACATGGTAAAGCTTATAATCTTCTTCATATCATAAAACTGCAGATTCTAAATATTTAAACAACATTTGCTGTATTTTATATTATAAATTTTAGATGATCAATATCTTCGTCAACTTTTAATGTACATAACTAGTAGACCACATTTTGGAAATTCTAAAGCAAGGGCATATAATGCTATTCATCCTTAAGGAGGCAATGCTATGTTTACAAAATATTAGCTACTGTATACTATTGATTTGTACTCCATGACCCTGAGCTAAATTTCTAACTTTTTAAAGTACAAATTATTTCTATAAAATAAACCATAGACAACATGAAAATTTGTTAGAGCAGCCATACCAAAGTTCCTCAGAATGACTTCTGCTTTAAAGGCATTTTAACCTCCATGTGCAGGAGATTTAATCACTCTCTAAGAAAGTTTGGTAAAATGACCCTTAGACCTGAAAACTGAACTTTTCCTTCCTTCTATAAGAATATGAAGCAATTTACTTCTCGTAGTTTGTTATGTGTTGCATGTTTAAAACTTTAAATAAACTTCCTTATTAAGAGATCAATTATACTACAGTCATGGTCAGAAAGATCCGGAATTAATTTACAATTAATAACACAACTTTACAATTGTCTCAGATATTACAATTGTCTCAGATATTTTACAAATATAATTGATGAAACAATAATCACATAATAGCCCTAGTCCAGCCATTTCCAAAATGTGGTCTGCATTTTTTTGTGCATTCAAAATTACCAGAGTTGAGTCAAAACATTCCTAGATCAGAAAAAAATATTAAAAACTGCAAACACATCTGATATCTACTCCTGACAAACAGTAACTTTCTATATTACTTATATTGATATTTCTGGCTCCAAAATATTAAATTAAAGAATAGTATGAATCAGAAATATGTGCCAAAATGCATTTTTGTCTACAAGGGATTAGAATGCTAAGATCTAAAAGAGAAGAACAGAAAACAGATGTGTGACCAGATAAAAAAATATTCAATCCAGAGTTCAGAAAAAAATCAGATGCAAGAGTATACAGAGTTCAGAAAAAAAGAAATCAAGATACTCAGCAATTTCAAATTCATGGCTCAGAAAAAAAGCAAGATCATTTAAAAATAGTTCTTACTTGTAACACGGCAAACTACAAGGACATCCAACAAAATTCTTTCTTTTTATTTTCAAAATTAGCCAAAGTATGATTGAAGGATGGACCAACAAGAAAAAAATGAAGAACAAGAAATATAGAAATCTCAAAATATTTCCATCTGATATCATATAAATATTTAAAAATATTGTAAAATGAAAAAAATTAAAAAAATTATTAAAGTTAAAATTTATGAATATTGCAAACGAAATAAACTTTATTGATAATTGTCTTGTTGAATTTTCATTTAAGTTATTACTTTAAAAAATCATTAACTAATGTAATTATTTTTCATTTTATAATGTTGTTTACAATAGTAGTTGTTTACAGAGTAAACTTTTAACTTGATTAAACCGAAGAGTGGGCCTGTCAGTATAACTCTCCATTTTCAACTAACTGGATAAATTACAAAGCTGTTAGTTCAAATTCAAAAACTTTCATTTGTCACTGTTACTTTGACAGTCTATCCAAACTGTTCTTTTATAACAAAATCTCTTAAAAAGACTGTTAACTGACCCTTTTAACTAAGATTGTAATCAAAATTTACAACAGTATCCAATTTAAACCTTTAAGGTCATGTACAAGGCTATGTTACATGTATCTAAACCTCAACAATACCAAATATGTCAAACACAATTTTAAAGAATTTGTATGTAAATATTTATTTTCTATGAATTCTAGAAAGTAAATATTAATATTGGTTAAAACAAAAAATAGCTTTAAAATCAAGTGTTAAAAAATAACAATAATTTCTGAAGATAAATCAGGACCAAGTCCAGCATCCTTGATCAGTGATCATTCCAATAAGGAATAAAGGGTGCTGTTGTAAATTTGAGGCATCTGCACTTGACAAATGAATGGTCACTTGAAATTAGGCACACAATCCTTTTTGGGTTTCTATAAATGTCTATAAATTTTCTTAAAGTTCTATTTGCTAATGAAATACAAATGAATGATTGTGCCAATGCAAAAAAAATCAATAAAACTTGTGTAAATAGAGGTTTCCTTCCAACTCATTTGCACACCAATAGTCCACTGTCAACAGCAGAACTAAACCAAAAATTTATTAATAAAATGGCGAGAATTAGGAAAATTTGCAACTCTGGAATATATATTTGTCTCTACATCTTTTTCTTATATTTGGCATGGTTGTCAGTGGAAAAGTTTAGTCAAAAGAAAACTTTCATGATAAGGTATTTGAGGAATTCATTTATTTGTACAATTTATAAAAAAAAATTTTTGCATGGTTTGTTCTTTTTCATCTCCTTACACTTCAAAAGTATGCTATCTTAGATTTGTTTTTTTTTCTTAGAACTACTTTCTTATGTTTTACATTTTTCAAGTTTACCATACTTATACTTAATTTTATCCAATTTCATTTAATACAACATAACAACTTTGAATTCTGCCCTTAAACATAGAATGCAGAAAAGTTTCATGAGTTTGTAATCTATTACAGCAAAGATTATGGACAATCCTGAAACAAATTTCCCAAAATGCACAAAATTTTTGTAGGACTATTATATGTTTTACATGTTAAAAATCTAATTCAGTCTAGATTACCTTCATCTTTATTAATGACATCAGAGGAAAAAAGTTTTGTAAATTGTATTTTCTTATTACTTATAAATTCTAAACATAATATAAAACAAAAGATTTTTGAATTTTGATGCTAAATCTTGTATATTTTGAAGATCAAGTAAATTTTTGTTTATTGACTGATACTTTATTCATTATTGTGATTATTTTTTTTAAATTAGAAAAAATTATCCCTCACATAATATTCCTAATTCTTACTAAATAGTTGAACATTCTAGATGTAGTCAACAAAGAAGTATAAATTTTCTAGTGATTAGACCTCCAAAGGAAGTATGTATCTGACATGTATCCCAATTGAGTTTTATTCCATATGATATTTATAGAATGTGGTATTGCATATATGCTTAATTAAGAGATTTAGTAAAGCCTTTTCTGACAGTAATTAATAGATAAAACCTGTTATCACAACAGTTCTTTGCTTACCTCAAACCTAGAATTACGTTAAACCAATCAAAGATGCAAGGACGGAGCTTGAAATATCATTAAAGACATTTTCACAACTTGGTCAAAGCTCAACCATCATGCTTTTTGAAAATCTTTTATTTTCAAATTCAACATCATTTTACCTTTTCATTATGTTTGCAAAATTAAGCAAAAAATGTATTAGATTTCCCTAAAATTCTTTTAAACTAAATTTTTGTAATTTCAAAAGGTTCTATTTCTTAGAATCTGCAAGAAAAATGTACTAATTACAAATGTTATCTATTTAAACATAGAAACTTTTTGTTGGACTCATTATTCAAGTTTACCAATTAGTGCCCTCGTCCAGTGTTAATTGCAGTAAAAAGTTCTTTAACTTTGGAGTTTATGTTTTTCTTACTTTCTTGTTCATCTGCGGAGGATGGATGTCTGTTCAAAAATATTTTTTGAAGAAAACTTTAATGATTAGGTATTTAAAAAATTGAATACAAGTTTGGTTTTACAACCTAGGACTGTTTTTTTTTCTATTTTAATAACATACATTTAAATTTCTTAATTAATGTTTTTTGCAATTTACTCAATCTATTTTTATAATTTTTATTGTTGTCAATCTGATTTTTAATCAGAACAGCAAACCACACTAACCAAAAAGATATTCAAAGAGACATTGTAAAATTAATACAATGGCTATATTTCAATATAATTGGCCAATATTATTTTTATAGTTAAGGATGGAGTACAAGTAAATTTTTATTTACATAGTAATAATAAGAATGGTCTAAAATGAAATTGTTAACTTAAAGTGGGGCTTTTCAAAAACTGTTTCAAATATCTTTAGTCCCAGTGTGAAATTAGTGCTGGTCACTTTCAGAATTTCTTTAAGCCATTCAGTAATGGCTAGTTATCTAATTGATACCAACTTTTCAAGTAGCTGTTTGTTCCAGAGCAAGTTATGATTATTATATGTAAAAATGGTAGGAAAAATTATAAGACAACATTCAAAAACATCTAATATTGCCAATCTCACAGATAAGAACACAAAGTGGAGGGCATAACATGTTGTCTAGAAATTTATTAAAAAATTTATGACAGCTGTGCTTCATCATTGGTCTGCCCAAAAAGAATGCTATGATATGTTCGCAGCTTCAAAGGGTTGAATTGGATTTGTTAAAATATATCCAAAATCATTGATTTTTTGATAACTTTTCAGAAACTGCTTTTTATTTGTAATTCAAGGTAAATAATAGCCCTGAAATATGCAGGACAGCAATCACTATAATTTGTCCGCAGCATTTGATCTTAAATATATTAAGAATACAACATTATAAAAATGTATTCATATATCTGGGATTCACTGTATAAAAAAAAACATTGAAAAACAAAATTTATTTGAATTCAAATCTTAATTTGAAATGAATTGCAATAATTTCAAGTCTTATGTCAAATTACAAATCATTTCATGCCACAAGAGCCATTTTTGTTTATAAAAATTTGACTTTAGTAGAAGCCCTATACTAAATTGTGCATTATGCATACGATTTTATAATTTTTAAGTTTATTAATTTTTTATTTTTAGTACTGTTAGAGATACTGGAAATATCAACTATCCTTCAATCACAGTGTGTGAAGTTTGTCCCTTTACTCAGAGAGAAAACATTCTGGTGGAGCTAAAATCTTGGAAAAACACTTCAAATGAGTTTCTTCAAGAATGGATTAAAAACCACACTTCATCTCGGGAACATCTGTTTAACTTTGTCCAGCACAGAAGTGATGAGAGACAATTTCAATGTGAGACTACGGATTCCCCAACTGACACATTAGCAGGTTTCCCCTGTACATTTCCATTCAATGTTGATGATTGTTCAATCCCTTCACCAAATAATCATCTTCGGAGTGCATTTTGCAATTCATTTCAAGAACAGAGGGAGGTCAAGACCTTCTACAAATGTACGGAAATGTATGACAACAGACCATGGTGTGCTGTTCATGTTTTTAAAAATAGATCAATAGTTCCCAAGGGTTATGCATACTGCAACAAGAACTGCAATGGAGAAATGCCTTCTAACAAACGTCCAGAATATCTAGCCAGCTCTAAATTTGATAAATTGTGGCAGCAGAGAATATTCAATCTCAACTCCTATGGCGGTGGCCATTGTTTTACCTACAATCCCAAAGAAAAATTCCTACCAGGAAGACCTGGAAATTTTCTAGCCCTACTTGGACCAGAATTAGAGAAGGATTCATTATGTGGTTATAATATTCATTTACATTCTAAGAAGGTCAGATAAAACTTTTCAAATGCTCTTTAATGATTAAGTAGGAAAACAAATAAATATCAATTATTAACTAAAATTCAGCATTTCTGGGTTCATGAGAGTTTGGATGAGACTGGACAAGCTGATACACTTTTTCTTGAAGCAGGAGATTTTTTGCAGGTCTTTGAAGATTATATTGACCAATCTTATAAAAGTATCCAGTAAGTTTTACTCATACTTAAGGTTGACTTTGAGTACTCAAAAACAACAAGAATATCATCGTCTAAGCATCAATGTGAGGAAAGTGAGGTAAAAAAAGTTATACCACTGGACTTTTAAACACTGTTCTGATCAGTGATCAATGTTTACTGAATAAAACCATTTATGCTTGAGTCAGTAATGTCTTTAACATTAGTTTAGCTTATAGCTGTCAGACTTGACACCTAATCATGTGTAGTTATAAATTAATACAAACAAATTGTTTCCAATATGTCAATTTTTAACCATGCATAATACATCTAGGACTTAACACTAACCAGGGCAAGATGCAACATGGTTTATTAATTTTAATTCAATTGCAAAAAAAGCTAATAGGTTAAATTGCAATTGAAATTGCTAAAATGTTGAAATTGCATGAATGTATTTGAAAACATGAGAATTTTACAAATTAAGTCCAGCTAAGATCTTTTTATAAATGGCTTTTCTGTAGGATTACAGCATGACAGATTGTATTTTTAACTACTTGTATGAAGAAGCTGGCTGTATAATAAGTTGGCTCAACAAGTCAAGCCTTGATCTACCAACCTGTGAGGGAGTGGAGGACATTGAACGATTGAGTTTGATTATGTGGAGTCTGTATTCAGCACCATACTCTAAATTAAGTGCTCTGACAGGTTGGAACATATTAATCATGGTTACTTTCAAAGTTTTGATTCATGAAACTGGCTGAAGGGCCCAGTGTTGGCCGTGGAAAAAAAAGTTTTTAAAAAAATGTTCAAAAAATTTTTTTAAAAAATAATTTTGATAAAAAAATTTTTCGAATTTTTTAACCTATGAGTGTCCCCAAAAAATGTCATCCCAATCGGTCCAGCTGTTTGTTGGGCTTTCAATGGGTTGCTGAAAAATCGAGAAAGATCAATATTCGTTTAAAAAGTATGTTTTGAAATTTACTTTAATGACTTATGTTTACCCTCACAGATGTTGAACTTGAGCAGGATTTAAATCACTACTTGACAAACAATTCTGTTCTTACTCTGTTTGCAAACTTGTGCATAGTGAATTAATTTAAAACTAAATTTGCAAAGAATTACTGTTTTAAAATAGCACAAATTCCTCAGATTCTGGAGGTACTTCAGAACCCAAGTGAAAAGACTCGAGGATGAATTGAATAAGCTCTTATATAGGATGCAAAGTTCCTTGTACTACTGAGAAGATTTCAGTTGAATCTGTCCGCACCCAGAAGATTACTTGGGATGTAAACTGGACGTCTGAGTTCTATCTAGAAGCAAATTCGGCAAGAGTTGAGGTATACTTTACCATCTTAGTGTTCTGTAAATTGGCCTAAAATTAAAGAAAGGGGTATAGTGTGTCCTTTTTCCTTGCACTTTGTTCAAACTGTGCGCCAATTTTGGGCCAGTTTGCATATACAGTACTTACTGAGCAGTTAGCAATGAGCATTGATTAAAAGCAGTGAAAAAAGAATGGTAATGACTTCAATTGAAATATATTTAACAAAGGAACTAACTTAATGAATTTAAGCTAAGCCTTGAGACGGTTCAACATGTATCATGAATCGAATCGGTGATTCTGGATTTGTCCATGTCCTAGAGATTTAACTCCGCCGTTGTAGGTATAGGGTGTCCCAATAAACATGAGAATTCAGTGACAAATTCGATATTTTCTTTTCAAATAATTCTTTGATTAAGCTTAGTGATTCCTACTGAGAAAGCTGTAATTTGTAAGATTTTTGTCTGCTATGTTACAATTTGTTTGTTTATGTTTTGACTGCAAACAGTTGTACTTAGTAAAACAAGAAAATTACAGTATACAAACAGAGTAAACTTGTCTGTCTTTACTGTTGATCTTGCAAAGACATTATAGACACATCTTTACAGCCATTCATGGTTTTCAAAATCAGGTATTACAATGCTAATTCATAACAAAGACGATATCGTATTTGTCACTGAATTCCCATGTTTTTTGGACCACCCTATAGTTCAGAAAAAGTGCTAGATCAGCAACCAAGCTCAAATTAATTAAATTTTCCAAGTTTGACATCTTTTTTTATTATATCTTTCAGACACAAAAAAGGAAATAAGAAATTTTTTCTCATCTGCTCTTTATTTTTTGAAGGCATTAAATTTCTTTAAAAATATAACCAAAATATTTAAGATAGTTGAGGAGCAGTTGGTGTTCGATCTGCTTGATCTTATCAATGGTATTGGAGGCCTTCTTGGGCTTATTCTTGGCTATTCAATTCTCTCAGTTGTTCAGTTCATTTTTTCTACTTTTAGCGTTAAATTCAACAACTTTAATAATGTGTTAAAACCCGAAAAATTATAATTTTAAATGACTTGAGGATTCATTATGATAACTATGATTCAGATACAGATTTTATAACCCTGCATATGTAAGAAAATGTTGAAATCAATGTATTACACAGTTTTAAATAAACTTTGTGTTATTCTAGAAACCTGTAATTGTAATATCCTGAACAAAATGTAATTAATAATTTCTACCAAAAAAGCACACCACAAGCATATTAAAAAAGCAGGGTAATCAGCAAATATTATTGCTTGAATATTTTTGTTGCTCACAGAAATGGAGGTCTAGGAAATTGAGTCTTTGCCTCAAAATCAGATTTTCTAATCCCTTTATCTTTGCAACCTTATTTAGATATTTAGTTTTAAAACTCTAAGACCATGACTTTGGGTGGAGAAGATAAATGGATTAAAAAATCTGAGTTTGTACCTCAGACTCAATTTTTTATGAGATGTTTTTACAAATTTTACAAAATCAAAGCAGAGTTTTGACTGTATAAAAAGATTTGTTGAACAAAATTGAATAACATTTGCACTTTGGCTAAGTTCAATTTTATGTGGAAATTTTTTCATAATCAAGCTAAAAAAAACTCTTTCACCATAATGTAAATTTAATTAGTATTTTGATATCAAAAGTCGACACTGAGAATAAACTTTTATTTTACATGTTTTTTGAAACCTGATTTTATCAAAAAAGAAAAAAATATTGTTGTTTTTCTAGGTTCAAAATTGTTTAATTCTGATAATTCCTATATGTTTTCCTGTAGTATAAATACACATTCCAAAAGTAGCTTTTTAACAAAATTAGGGCGGGTGGGTAAATTGCAATTGTTTTTGCAACATAAAGAAAAAGGGGGAATTGGAATTCATACCTTATTTGGTTGTAAATTCATCCTTTCATTGCAAAACAGGGGGGTGTCATTGCTTTATTTATGGAAGGGGGGGGGGGGGGAATTGAAATCCTCCCAAGGGGGGAGGAAGGGGCTAAAGAAATTTCCCCTTCAAATCCTGTATCATCCCTTCTTAGAATCCCATTAAGGTCAATTATAATGCTATTGATTTCCGCCATTAGTCAATAGTTTTAAACACGTTCAAGAAAATAAGTACTTTCATCCAATATATTAATTGAGTAAATATGGCGTAAAAAATGTTGCTAGAGCTGGGCACCTTCCAACTTTTTCTAGCCGTTTAGTTAATAGTTAGTTCAAACTGTTTAAAAAGAAAATTTTTAGGTAGCTTTAAAGGTAAGAACAAAACGTTGGTTTCATTAATAGTATTTGTTCTGATTAAGTTACTGTAAATTAACAACCTCAATCTTATTAATAGTATTAACGGAAGATGTTTTTCTTCAAAACTCCAAAATTTCCATTTAAAAAAATTGTTTATCAAATTGAATTTATAGCGCAAGCTTTCACCAAATTGCGGAAAAATCTTTTTAAAATTCTATCATAAAGATAGGAAAGGGGGGGGGGGCTAAAATTCATTTAATTTTTTTTTTGTTTCAAGTTTTAGGCAATTTTAGCAGAAAAAAGAAAGAAAGTCGCATTTTTTTAAAAACCCATCCATTATATTTGTTTTTAACCATTATTTTTTTTCTTAAAAGTTTCGGTAACAACTAAAGAACTAACGGTTTTTGCTGTTAGTTAACGGACTCTTCAGTTAATTTTCAAACACCTCCGTTCTGTTAACGGAACTTTGCCCAGCGCTACATGAAGGTAATATGGAAAACATTGAGCATACCATATTTTACCACTTTCCAAGCTTTAAGTTTATTTTTTTATGGTATTATATTTTTGAATATTTTAAATAACCTGCAATTTTATACAAAGCCTTGCTAAATTGGCATTCATTTTTCTATATATCGAAGCTTCAACAAACTACAGGAAGACATTAATATTTTGATTGTTAAAAAATAACAAGAAACCATATAGGATGGCAATTTTAAGAAACCATAAAGACCAGCTCAGTGCTCAATGCAATGATATAATCTTTTACGAGAGTGAATTTTTAAGGGAGTGAAAAGTTTGTTTTTGAGATATATTTGAAAATTATTGGTAAATTTAAATAAAACCCTAGGAAATCCTTAACTATATTCCCTGTTTCCACCATTAGTCAATAGTTTTAAGCTCGTGAAAGAAAATAAGTACTTTCATCCGTTATTTTATTTAAGTAAATATTGCTTAAAAACATGTAACATGGAATTGCATTAAGTTACAATATGTTACCACTTTCCAAGATTTATTATAAAGTTTCTTTTTTAATATTTCTATATATCATATTTTTAAAATATTATACAATTAAGCCTTACTTAATTGCCATACAGTTTACTATAACGAAGCTTCAACAAACTATAGGAAAATTACAGGCTTTAATGTTAATATCTATTATAAAAAAACAAGAAAACATAGGATGGCAATTCCAGGTAGGAAATCATAGCATTGATGAGTAGCCTTTTATGAGAGTGAATTCTTAAGATATAAGCTCAGGAATTTCGCTGTGAAATATTGGATGATCCACACTGAACCTAGAGATGATTCCAATTTTCAATAAGTATATACGAGGGCTGGTAGTCTTAATTAAACTGCAAACAAATCCAGAAGAAACCTGTTGTGCTGCACTTTCAGAAAGTTATACTAGGGTTTCCAACGTAATAGATTATTAACTCATGTGAAATTATGTGCAGTTACGCAAAATAATTTTCATTTTGTTTAATTTTGCAGGATTTGGCGTAATTGGCAAAACTTCAATTTTGCAAAAATACGGTGTAATTTCGCGTAAATTTCTACAACGTTATTTTGCAAAATTTTGTAATAATTTCGAGTAATTAGCAAAACTTCTATTTGGTAAAATTACCCTGTAATTTCGTGTAATTTCTACAAAAGTACTTTACTAATTACGGAATGGTTTCGTATTACATAATTTCGCGTAATTACGGATTAATTATGCGAAACTCAACTTTCTTTCTTGTATGTAATTAGGACGTAATTTTGTGTAATGCTCCTATGTAAGTGAAAGAAAGTGTTACTCGAAAGTACAACTGGAAACCCTATTATATCCACAAAGGATGAAACTTCATGGATGACTAAACTGAATTTAAACTAGGGTTTCCAATGAAATTTTCGATGAACAAATTTTGTTCAAAATTTTTGCAAATTTTGATGTACTTTTGACAAAATTTTTGATCTAATTGCAGAAATTTTGTCCATTTTTGCGAAATTTTTGCTAAATTTTTGTTCAATAAAAATCTAAGTTTGTTTCTCCGTTCCTCATCAAAAAGATTGAAGATTGCTAACAGAGCGACTGGTGAGTTCCCCCTGGGTAAATGTGTCACACACTTTCATGTTTTTTAATAGATAAGGTAAACTAGCAAATCATAAAAGTTAATTTAATATGCAGACAAATTATCAAGATTGTAAGTATATGTAAATGCTGTTCATCTACATATTATTGGGTGTTCACCTGAACATGACGACTGATTTTTTGCTGTCTGTAACTCTTTTCGCAATATTTCCACTCGCAGCTTCATATCCTCCTCATTCGATATTCTGTTCATTGCTTTCACTCTTTGGTTTATTAACTACACTTGTGGCAATCTCTGCTTCCGGGCATCCAATTCCTTGTACTGAATGTTTCCACCTGCTTTTCCTGTTTCCCTTATGCTTGATACTCAGGTGTCTGATTCTTAACTGGGTACGCTAGGGTACAATTCAAAACTGTCCATTATCACACTCTGATATTGCTGTACATTCTGGTACTCTGTATTCTCAGATAGCAATCTTAGCTTGTTGTTATTTTTTTCTGACACAGTTCCTCTTGTTACCCTTTCAACAAGGTAATCACTGTATTCTCTTCCTTCATAATCTTGGCATTTGGGTTCTTTAACTCTTGCCGCTGCAACCAGGTACAACCCGTCCATCATCAAAGTCAACCAGGACTACAATCCCGTTCTCTACCAATGCCCCTTCCAATGGGCGCCATCTCGGTAGCTATCAAGTTATTTCTCAGGCTCTAAATGCCACACAGGAACATAAGCTCAGCTATCATACAAGCTTTTATTTAGGCTCTAAATGCCATACAGGGACACAAGCATAGCTATCCATCAAACAAGCTATTACTTAGGCTATAAATGCCACATAGGGACACAAGTGCAGCTTTCAATCAAGCAAGCTATTAATCAGGCTCTAAATGCCACACTGGAACACAAGCGTTATAGCTTTCTATTAAACAAGCTCTTACTCAGGCTCTAAAAGCCACCTAGGGACACAAGCATAGCTCTTATCAAACAAGCTATTATTCAGGCTCTAAATGCCAGACAGGGACACAAGTGTAGATTTCTATCTAACAAGCTATTGGCTATCTAACAAGTCCTTAAAGGGAGTGACCAGCTATGTAAGGTAGTTGAACTGAGTATGCAGTGTTGTGGAAAATTTCTTTCGGATTTATTTGAGACATATTAAACAATGTAAAGATCTGTAAATCCTGTGCTTGAGTACAAATTCTATGTTCAAAACTCCTACTTTTGGGGTAGATACATATTCAGAATCGTTTTTTTAAAAATTACTAAATAACGACTTAGAGATATAAAACATTTGTACACGCCCTAAGCAGAGGGAGCAAATGATTGATCTCAAAAATCCCTAAGATCTATATCTGTAATTGTAATCGATTGAACGTTTAATCATTATACCGTTCATATAACAGACTCTTCCATTAATTTTTTAAAATCTCCGCTTCCTTAACGGAACTTTGCCATTGTATTGTAAGAGTTTCAGGTCATCTTTACAGTTTCATCCTTTGTGGGTAACCCTTTATATAAATTAAAACCATATAACTGTGTTTTAGAGGAAGATGACTTTTAGGCTCAAGTTATTACAGTTTGTACATTGTACATTTTACATATATCACGTACTAATTTTTGATTTTCAAGATTAATTATATACGCATATTGTGTCTTCCTCTTTCACAGTTTTATGGTTCTGAGCTGAAAACTTTAGAATGGTGGATATCGGGTGTTGTAAACTCCGAGCTTTATTTGTCTACAGAAGAATTTCAAACGCAATAATTAACTCTCTTAGTCTATATTTATTAATCTAAGTTTACTGATTCCATGTTATATATTTAGGATATTAATATTCTGGACTGAACTCGACTTCCATGGCTAGGAGTTGTAACAGCTCCAGCCGCTGCTCCAAGATGAGAGACATATTGGTGACAAGCGCCAATTCCTGCTTGAGATGATGCTCCTCCTCGCTGT